ATGATGCTGCTTGGCCTGCTGTGTTCATCCAGCCCTGCACCTTGTTGTCTCGGATTCTCCAGCATCTGCAGTTCCTACTATCTCTGGTTAATTCTATCTCCTAATTTTTAACTCCAACATGATATTCCACCTCAAGTTCTTGGTCTCCTACTTATTCAGTGGGGAAGAAAATGGTGACTGAGATCATGGGTATCTTAATACTGTACTGAGGTGCCACAACACATTTCTGGACACTTTGACGTACTTAGCAAAGAATCATAAAGGATAGTCTTCAAGGTCTGGATCATAAAATGGCAGACAGAGTAGGTTCCTCTGATGTGCGGACACCACCAGTTGTGATGTAGCAAATGACTGGCACCATATGAGGAACAGGATCATGTGGTCTGAAACAACTGCAATGTTCTGACAAGGAGATTACAATGTTGCTTAGGGAATGTGGGGCTATGGGCTGGCACAGTAGGCAATGATTCTCACAAGCACCACCTCAACATCAGCATTTCAACAAAGGCTAGAAGGCAGATAGTTTTGTCATTGCTCTGCACATACACACCTACATGTGAAGTTCACTTGTTTCAGTGGCACTATTCCACCTGTGATGGCAAAACCTGCCAATCAGTTAAGATGGGCTGAAATTTGCATTCTTTTGGCTAAGTGTGAATAACGTTGAGTTTCTTACCACAATACCGAGCGATTTTCACAACACATCTTATCAATGCACCTCATTAACTCCCTAATCCGTTTCTATGGTGTCCTTTTCATCTGATTGTAGCCTCACTGTACCACACTTCATTTCCAGAACAACTCATCATGTTGGAATATCTTGGAATTGACAGGCATTCTGGTGCTGGTGATGCATTTAAAGCCTGTTGAGCATCCAGAGAAGCACCAATTGAGAGCTAACTTGCACCATTATTGACATTTGCAATGACCATCCAGATAAGACGTAACTGGTGCCCCACATTCTAGCAAGAACCTGGAGGTTCTACAGGACAAGGTGATGCACAGGCAGAACATCCTCGTCCCCCGGACCAGCAGCAGACACCAAGACCACACCGTGCCAAACTGGTCTGAGCTTTCCACGAATGAGGTTAGTGCAGTTGCAGCCATCTGGACATCACTGCAGGAAAAGAATGTTGATGACCTTCTTCACTCCACTCTGTCTCTGCTGCTGGACCAACCTTACACAAAATCCCATTCTCTATCACTCTCACTATTGCCTGTAACATTTTCTCCCACTCCTCCCACCCGCCCCAACCCTGACACCACTAACCTGCATGCTCTGTGCTGTCCATTCACTCACTGGGGATGCCTCTCCATCTGCACTAAGACCTATGACACCCACTTTCATCATGTACTCATTCGTGGGATGTGAGCATTGCTGGCTGGTCCAGGATTTATTGCCCATCCCAGTTGACCTTGTGTGTGGAAGTGATCTGTCAAGCTTCTTGAATATTGCGAGAGCTGCACTCATCTATTCAAGCGGGGAGTATTCCATCTCTCTGTTTTGTGCATTGCAGATGATGGTCATCTGCTTTAATACATGCCTGTCTTTCTTTCCAATTAAAAAGCAATAAGGCAGAAAATCGTGGAATAGGCTGCCCAACATTTGGCTCATCACCTCAATGTGAAGAACAGCCTGACTCTGACCACTGTGAGCAGCTGACTGACCATGTCCAAACCGCTGCAAAGGTATTGGATGCTGTCCTTGATTTACCGTGCCAGGAACTACTGAGCAAAAGTCATCTCCCTTGACTTGACTAGGGACTGCTGACAAGCATGATAAACTTCCTGGCTTTGTGTCTGCACTAAATGACGAGACAAGGCCGAAGTGATACGAGTCTAATCTCAGTTTGAGGAGGAAAGGTGCAAAAGGGTCAGGCAAAGCAACGTAAAGCAGTGATGTTGTGAGCATCCAGCTAGGTTCAAAATGGGTGCTACGACAGTGAGTGAATAGGCCAGAGATACAACATAGTTCAGTAAGTGAGCTAAGTGCATGCCCTTGAGCACAGTGTCCTTGCTGTGTTATTACAATGAGAGTTGCCATTTTGGCCTGATGCACAGTAGCATCCTGTACACAGATCAGAGATGTGCCATAAGGATTCTTAGAGGCTGGCACATGTCAGATGCCAATGCCTGTGGATGTGGGGTGATGTGGCTAGTGTTCATACACCCTGTTCTGAGATGTTGATGCTTGACACCATTTGGATGTCCTTTGAACCTAGTGGCAAACTGAAGTCATCAGGTACTCACTCTGACTTCCAATGTATAGGTTGTTAGTTCCATTGGGCAAAACAAGATGTTGAATATTAATGAGGCGTTCAACTCTTAAGGCATTCACCTAGAAAAATTCCCCTTAATTGGCAACTTGCGGTTGTTGAGAAAGAAACTTGTTCATAAAAGATGCAACAAATTGGTCAGTATTGAGGTAGACTTCACCATAATTCTCATACAAATGTGCCATAAATCTCACCATTATCTCATGTTGCTCAGATCCCTGTAAGATCCCTGTCTTTCTGAACTACTCCCAAATCTAGCTGAAATGTTTTTCTCTTCATTTTGGTGTTTTTATTCCCAATATTTTAAATTCACTACTTCCAAGTGCTTAAGACTGAGATGGCACTCGGTGCAGTATCTCATTATTGACAATGTTTTACATGGACAGTTCCACATTGTTTGGATTTAAATGTCCAGATAGTACCAGTCCTAACCCATTCAGTACAGATTTAGATTTTTAGTCTAAATTTTAATTTTATTGAATTTACCAATGGAAGAAAAGAGAGTTTAAAAATTATAACTCAAAGCTACTATTTAACCAATATGGTTAAGATAATCAAATAAAACTCTGGTAATTTAGTTAAAAGTCTTCCTATATGCAACATGCATTATCACTGGAAACTACTTCTGTTTAACAAGAGTGTGCACTTTCGATTATTTAAGTATAAGTGCTGTCTCAATCACAAAATGGATTTAGGTTGTCATTTCTTAGATTGATCTGCAACAACAATTTGGAGGTTCGGTAGTTTTAAGCAAGATTTTTTTTTCTAGGAAATTACTTGTTAGAATATTTTACACTTAAGCAGAAGAATTGCAGAGGCAGTTCTGCAAAGGTGTGCCCCTTTACTTGATGTGACAAAAGCATTTAATAATCACATAAATTTGAACAAATATTTGATCATGACTATGAAAGATCACAATCTTTTTGTCTGTTAATTCAAAGAGCCAAGTCATCCCTTTTGAAAGATCAATTCAGAATAACGGCATAATACACAGTTAGAACATCAATGGTAAATACTTTTTCCCAGCTGATGATTCTTCAAGTTTTCTCACTTCCCAGATGACTTTTGATTTAGAAGACCACAATAACTCTGATCTGGAAATACACAGTATAGGTTGAGGGCGAGACTGACCTGGTATTGTGTATATATTTGCAATAAAAAAGTAATGAGAATTTAAATTCATTTAGATTAGGAACAACAACACAAGATTTTTTTTCTTACAAAGATACTTTGTATGCTAATTAAAATAAACACAGTGGCTACAGGCATTTGTCCATATCTGCTTATTCATGGATCATGAATTTACCTAATCACACCAAAAAAGAGTTACTAAATCTGCAGGCAAAACTCCCTTATCTGTGACCATCTTGCTCTTGCTCTCTGACCTGTTCCGGTATGAAGCTCTTACCTTCAACCCTCCACTAGCAAGGGTGTAGGTGCTCGAGAGGATGAACAGTTTGAGGACATCCGAAAGACAGGTAGAGGAGGACGGTGCATCATTGGGGGAAGAGTGGCTGGGATGGAGGCATGTCTATAATGCTCTCCCACTCCCACACCCAGTAAGCATCCATAACCTCCCCCAACAGCTCCCTGCCCTGGTATGCTGAACTTCCCACCTTTATCGGTAAGTTACAACATACTACAATTGTTTTTTAATGTTTTATTCTATTAACATTAACTTTTATTTCAGATGGTTTAGAGTTTATTATTTTAACCCAAAAAATAATCTTGGGGTCCAGGAACCTGACCCTATTTTTACCCTAAGTTATTAAGCTCTGCACTCGTGAATTTAACACTTGCAGGGGTTTTCAGGAATGAATCCTTACAGAAATGAAGGAATGACTGTACATACTCAATGTAAATTATAGTTTGCTACACCATGCATACTTAACCAAGGCACCCTGTAAATTTCAGTTGTATCATTAGATCAGGTTAAGAGATTTCGGTGAGGTGTTTGAAATCCTAATCGTTTTAGGTAGAGTAAATAAGGAGAAACTGTTTCCAGTTGTTAAAGTTTTGATAACTAGGTGCTTTTGCTTGCAATGTGGTTTGCACAACCAACAGAAAGAAAAACATTTCACACAATAAGTGGATGGGATTTGAAATGCACTGTTTCATGCAATAGGGAGAACAGATTCAATAGGAGCCTCCAAAACAGAATTGGCTAAATATTTAAAAAGCATAGATTGCAGAAACGTGTTTGAAGAAATAGAGTGGATCAAACTGAATTGCTGCTCAAGAAGTGGGTGCAAATTCGATAAGCCAAATTACCTCCATCTGTGCCGTGCTGTTCTGATTTCATCATTTGCTCCCAGTTTGTGTTGCAAATTCCAATCAAAAGGAAGCTATTCCTGGTGAAGTCTACCCTATACAGCAGCTGCTTCTAATGTGATGCTAATACAGCAATCTTGCTCAGACAACATACTGGTGTTGAAAGAGCAGCATTGCTATAGTAAAATAATTACCCAACAGACTAACACTCAGACAATGGATAGGATTTTTCCCATGGATAAAGGAGACAGGAGCTGTCTCTTTTCATATCAGAAATCTGCCATCGATGGGAAACTGTCTGAAATTAAAATCTTCGTAGGGGTGAACACTTAACCAATTTGGAGTTGATTTTCTCTCCGAGTATAGCTGGCATGGGCCTACTAGGCATGTGTCAGAAACCAGAGGCAGCTGTCATGGAGATAATTTCTGTCAAAATCAATTTCTGCACCACAGGGACTCAAGCTGGGATTGTGGAGCTAGATGTCTGGCATGTTGAGAGTGTCTGAGGTGCAGGTCCCAAAAGACTCGGAGGGCCATGTAATGCAGAGTGCAGCAAACCATCACAAGGACTGAGGTATGATGATACTATGGGTTTAAGAGGTGTATTTTGTGCTTTTATTTTGAAGAGAGATGTTGAGCCTTAGGTAATCAGCTTTCTCTCCAAGCCGATAAAGCAGACAGCTTGTGAGACCTTTGTTTTTTTAAAATGTTGGAAAAGTAGAAGCAACATGAGGGGGTGGTATCAGGCTCCCACAGAAACAGGATTTTCATTTAGCTTTCAGTATTTCCTGGGGGTTTTGAGGCTGGTTGTTGAAGCTGCTACATCCTCCCTCCTTTCTGTTGCAGCTTCCTGCTGCCGTAATTGCATGTGAAATAATCTGTTTGACTGAATTTGCCTTTGCCAAGGGTGTTTATGGATTGCTGTTGGGAGTTACTGTTTGGTAGTTAAGTTATTTATAATTCTGTTATGTTTTCAGAGTTAAAGTTAGATCAATTCTTCTTACTCTTGTTTGCATTTTAACTGTAAAGTAAGAAAAGTGGTTTTTCTTAAAGCTGAGTCGTCTAACCAATCAAATTACATCTGGAACACAGAACCTGACACTTGTCTTTAAATAAGATAAAAAGTATGGTCTAGGCAATCTCCTTGATATATTTAAAAGGGGTTTTATCTGGTCTGTAACAACAGAGTGACTATGGGATGCTGTCAGACCAGTCCGGGCACAAGATCAAAGTTCCTCCTGAGCCTGTAATGTACCGTCAGTTGTTAATCTGATGTGTTGTCCACCTTCTGTTGAGAAGGTATTTTCCATGTGAGTAATGCATTGGTGTGCAGCCACCTCCAGATGCTGCACACTTAACACATCGCTCGGATGCCTCTGAGGATTCTGCATGGACAAAGGACCATCTGCCCCAAGAATTTCAGTCTCCTTTGACACTAGTTCTGAGGCATGTCCAGGTAGCTTCGCTTCTGATGTCAATCCTGCACTCAATAGTGGTTTCATCTTCTTTGTACCCTTTTGTCCCTCTCCTCTAGCCTTCTGATCCCAGCACACTGGTCCTGCTTCCAGCCTTTGGGAAAATCAGTGATGCCAAAACCAGAAGATGGACATGGCACTGACGCCATTTTTTTTCGTGGTACCCACCTCCGTTGCAACTCCAAACATCCAACAAAAAGAAAACCAATGTGTTCCCCAATCACCCCAACATGTTACCAAGTAAACATATGCATTTACTTTAATTATTTCTTTTGTTCCAAATGTAGTCAAAAGGGAAAGAATCCAGTTCCACACTTTCACTATGAAGAACAAAACAGCTGATTTTAAGGGAGAAGAAAATGCAAGTTGTTATTCCGATAGATCTCCAAAAGTTGCCAAAAAATATCCACAGCTAGACTCGAGTGACAATGCATTTTAGGAATCTTACACCCAAGTACAGCAAGGGACCAGTTTAGAAAGAGTTCTAAAGCATGAATCTCTGAAACACTTACATTTTGTTATGTTTATATTGGCAAAGAAGAAATTGGTTTCCCAAACTCGTACCACACACTGGTGAATGCAAACAAATCACTAGAAAAATTACCCAAATCTAATTTAGGAAAGCATTGGTTTACTGAGGCAAGTAGAAGCCATTCGCAAAGGTGATCACTGAAAGGATTTCACAGCAACTTTTTCAGGATTCCAATTGTCAAGTGTACTAAAATAATGATGTCTCAATAGGGCATTTAGGATTATGATTTCCAGCATCAGAACAGATTGCAGAATTATAACAAACATATAAAAATAGGCTTCAGTCTAAGAAGATGCAAACCTCTTAATGAATGCTGAAGTGAATCATCTACACTTTTGTATAAATACTAGGTCAATGCCATTTTGTTTTCAGAGTGCAGAATAACCAAGTTGTAATTATCTTTGAGTAACATAAAATACCAAGCACTAGGACAGAAATCTTTACATTAACCAATATGAAAATTGATTCCTCTTTGTTACATTAATCATTTGAGGTGAATGAACTTGTACAAAAATATTACTTTGTTTCTTCACTAGAACCTTCAACTGTTTTGCACTCCTGTACACTTTTCAAATGACCAGACTCTACCAAGATTCTCAAACAGAATAGATATAGGGTGCAAAGAACAAATGTACAGAGTTACTACTAACAATATCAGATTTACTGCAGGTACTTGCGTGGCTTTAGTATAACTGATCTCCTTTGCAAACAGATCTCATCTCGCTTTACTGCACAACATCCAAACATACAACATGACTCAACAGTCAGGACTATGAAACACATCAATGTATGAAATGGATACTAAGGGATTAATTTTGACCTTTTCTGTCAGATTGGCTGCCTATTTTACGTTAAATCTGACATTTATTTTCAACTGATTTCTTGTCAGTTTCTGGCCAATAGGTTAGATTACCATTACCCTTGTGTATCTCATGTCTGTCTCTTACTGTCTGGAAGACAGACTAATATGTATTTTAACAAGGCGAGATAGCTGTAAACCATTTACTCTGTGATAAATGAATGAGGACAAACAAAGAAGAGAATTTCAATCCATTCTGTAATTTCAAAAAAGATTTGGTGCCTTTCAGAACCTCAAGATGTTCCAATGCACATTACACGCAATTAAGTGCTATTAGAGGTAGATTCACCATTGAGAACAGGAGAAGTGGCATCTCATTTGTGCACAGTATGCTCTCACAACCAATGTAATAACGACTAGACAATCCAATGTTTGGTGCTGGCTGAGACAGAAACCATGTGCAGCCGTTCTGCTCTTAATGAATAATGTAATAGGATCTTAATAATCATCAATTTCCTCATAACACAGGAAGTAACAAAGTATACTTGGGGTAGAGCCCTCTGAAAAAAACACAGGAGCAAAAAACCAAGCAGGATGAAGCAAACGTTCAAAGATTCTAGTAAAAAAGCAAAGGGTAGCACCGTGGCTCGGTGTTTAGCACTGCTGCCTCAGCACCAGGGACCAGGATCAATTCCACCCTTGGATAACTGTCTGTGTGGAATTTGCACGTTCTCCCTGTGTCTTGGTGGGTTTACTCCAGGTGCTCCGGTTTCCTCCCACGGTCCAAAGATGTGCAGGTTAGGTGGATTAGCCATGCTAAATTGCCCATAGTGTCCAGGGGTGTGTAGGCTGGGTGGCTCAGACATGGGAAATGTGGGGTTACAGGGATAGGGTAGGGGTGTGGGTGTGGATGGGATACTGTTTCGAGGGTCCATGTAGACTCAATGGGCTGAATGGCCAGCTTCCACACTGTAGGGCTTCTGCGATGATTCAAAATACTGAAGCTGGGTCATTGACCTGAAACATTAACTCTTTCTCTCCATAAATGCTGCCTGATCTGCTGAATATTTCTGGTATATTCTATTTTATTTCAGGCAAAGGTATCATTTCTAATTAGCTAATGCATTTTTGTAAATTTGATCAAATACAAGCTTTGCAGCTTTGTCATTTAAATTTTCTTCTAATCTCTTAGCTGTAATTTTAGTTTTATGATGCTTCTTTAAACAGATCATCTGTATTTTTTATTGGGCGGGAATGGCAGAAGGGAAACTAATGACGGCAGATTTTGTTTTGCTAATGTTTGGGGCTACAGAAATATTGCATGCTTGTATTTGTCTGACTTTTCATTTCTATTTTCCTGTGACCATCGTTTTATTTTACATTTTCTAAAGCTGGTTAGTAATTTTCTCAAACTGTGGCTTTCTTGCAATCACTTTACTGCGTCTTAATTCACTGAATTGGAAAAGAACATCTGTTTCTAAGCCATGCTTCCAAAACAATATCACTGTCTTTTCCACATTATCAAGGATTCACTTTGCAAATCGGTCCTGCAAGTCCACAGAAAAAGAACCATAAAGATCTTGATCTTCAGTTAAACAGTTTTAATTTGTTCATAGATTTTCGGCTTCTTTGCTGTCCAACGTCTCCCCAGGTGGTGGCACAACAGTATAGTCCAGTTATGAGGCAGCCCAGGACCAGCAAACAAGTGAAGCGACTCTCGTTATTGGGGGAACAGAAGTTAATGGAATTTAAACTCTGGCAAACTTCTTTCTTGAAAGACTGCAAGCAAACATCAGAGCTCCTGGTTACATCAGCATGTGGGAAAACGTTCCTCCAGCAGTAATTGAGTATAAAGTGTTACTGCCTTTATCTTTGTGTGGATTTTTTTCATGTACAATCCAGAAGCTGCAAACAAACCTGCTATTGATCTGGCCACCAGTGGATGTGCGGGTGGTATTATTTAGGTCCCTTCACACAAAGTTTCCAGTTAAAGAGTTGGAATAAAAGCAAAGTTGCCATAGTCCCCAGAGGATTGCTTTCTCATTAGAGAGACACGACTGCTTGTGAATTTAACCTTCAGGTCACCACACCTCAGGCAAGGGGTTGGTTGAGAAGAAGATGGGACCTTAATGGTAACCTCAGTCAGTGTGGGAACTCAACCTGCACTGTTGGTGTCACTCTGCATGACTAACCAGCCAGCCAACTGAGTTAACTCTCCCAGAAAAGAGGTAGAATAAGGATAGGTTCTTAGTGCCTGTTTGTGCACAGCATGAACTTCTGTTTCGAGATTGCATCCCCTTATGTGGACTCAAAGGCTTTGATTTCATACAACATGTCAATTGTGATGATTCAGAAACAGTGATTCTGCTTAATGGAAGCCCACCAGATTATGTGGACTAGTAGAGCTATTTTGCTTGAGTACAATATTTTAAAGTGAGACTTACTTTGATTGTGGGCAACTGAGAATACGGGCAGGTATAAACTGCACGATTTTATAATGCTACATTTAAAAATTTTGATGAAAATAAGCTTTATGGGAAGAAGAATTTCTGTTACAAATAAAGCAAGAGGAAACATCCAGATGCATTGTCGGTCTGTGCGCACAGAAATGGCCAGATCCATTAGTGCCAACATTCCTCAGTATTACAACCATGTTCTGAAGTCATAGAGTCATTGAAATGCACAGCATAGAAACAGACCCTTCAGTCCAACTTGTCCATGCCAACCAGATATCCTAAATTAATCTCGTCCCATTTTCCAGTATTTGGCCCATATCCCTCTAAATCCTTTCCTATTCAAGAACCCATCCAGATGCCTTTTTAAAATGTTGTAATTGTACCAGCCTCCACCACTTCCTCTGGCAGTTCATTCCATACATGCACCATCCTCTGTGTGGAAAAAAAGTTGCCCCTTTGGTCCCTTTTAAATCTTTCCCTTCTCTTGCCTTAACTCATAAGGCTAGTCAAGATTGGCCTAACTCATGGCTTGATCAATCCTTGATATATCTGTTGTATCTGCACTAAATTCTCATTCCTTCATTACCATTACTTTGTGTCAGTCATTGCATAACTCAAACTTAAGGCTATGTCACTTGGCACCAGCTGCTCTCTTTACTGTTGCTTCCTGTATCTCACTACCTCACTATCATCTTTGAAACACCAGTAGCACTATTCTATATCACATCAAAATATTCAAAACTCTCATGTTCCAACACTTATTTTGTGTCGGCCAAGTCCTCAGCCATTAATAGACAGCATACAGCCACAGGTGATTGACTATTTGTACACTGTACCTGCATGAAGAACAGGTAATGGACACGTTTGCTTGAAGCAATCAACAAGAGGACTCCCATGGAGTAAAGCAGCAGAACGTGTATCTGGATTTAATGTGTTTTTCTCTCCGTTGTTCTTAAATGTCGTCTTTACAAACAATATGAAAAATTGTTGCTGCTCCCAGAAACCAATCATCTGACACTTACCCATCCCGCTAAATACTAACCCTTGAACCACTAGGGTTTAAGCTCCAAAACTCCAATCAATCCTTCAGAAGCAGAATGTGAAAATAAGCAGGACAACACCACACAACACTCGAGCTTATAGTTACAGACAATAACTGAGAATGTGTCATGGCAGTCTCTAAGTAAATGGGGACTCCCCCATCACAAGTGTGCAGGAGCGAGCCTCAGGTCAATAAGGGAATCAATTAAACTCAGCCCTTTCAGATTCTTTTCATCCTGAAACTCAAATCTTCAATTTTCACGAGCCCATCAGCCCAATTCTTGTGAGGCCTATTTACTTGCAGCGGTAACTTTACTGGCTTCATATTAAAATTGCTAGTCATTCTTCCTTGACTTCATTCAACCAAATCTTTTTCACCCACACCTTCAACTCCTCAGACTTCAGATTACTGCTCCTTTGCTGCTTTGTTGGAAGTTGTTCCTTCTGTTACTACACCCTTGCTGTTTGGAACACAGTCTCAAAATCACTTCCTACTGGTTTTGTTGTCGACCACTTATCTCTCTCCTGTTTCTTCTCTCCTTATCAACATCACCTTCTCCCTGGTAAAGTTCTCAGATGTTCTACTGTTGGCAGTTGCATTAAAATTCCATTGTACAACAATGTTTCTGAGCGCTTTAAGGACTAAAAGATTCTGAACTATGGTAAACATGCTTCTTAATTACTGCTGTGAATTATTCCGTTAAATGACAAGAAAAATATAACGCGCAGAGACTGAAACAGTTTAAAAAGTATAGCTTTTGCTCTCTGGTTTGCCAGGTGTTCCGTATCAAAGAGCTTTGCACTGCTCAATTTACGATTACTAAAATCAGATATAGTTCTGAATCATTACTTGTGAAAAGATTGAGCTGACTAAATTCCATGGCTAAAAGGTGTTCTGAATGGAAATATTTTAATCTCCAGAGAGCATTTTCTATCTACCCTATGCAACACCGAAAGGACAAATTGGAAAAAAAAAAATTTGGCCTAGGATTCGATCATTATACAACCAAGAGCACTGAAAATTAAATCATATTCAGACAGTCATATCTGACGTTTTGCTGACATTCTTAACCAATAACTGCAAGAGATTGGAAGTAAAATGTAAATATTTTATCATTGTTTAAAACAAAAGGCAATGAAGCTATCGTGACAAGAAGTATTTCCACCTCCAAGATTTCAACAGATACAGAGGAAAATATTAATGACCTAGTTAGCTTGGTTGGCCAATGACCACATTGCTTGTGATGTAAGTTGTCTGATTTTATATGTATTTTGATAACAATTGCTTTTGAGTTTGAATTTTTTGGAATTTGAACAAGTGCCATGTGGGTTTGTGTGCATATAAAAGGATTTAATGATTCACTTCCAAGTATTTTTGGAGCCATGATGAGAGAGGAAGCTTTGGAAGCTGAGAATATGTTTACATTGGGAAAGTTAATGGGTGAACAAAGTAATCAGTGCAGTGCTTTCAGAAAATTATGGATTTTTGGAGTTAGGGAAAGATAAATATGCCATAGCTTGGGAAAAAAAATGACCTTTAGTTAGACCTGTTCTGCAGAGTCCTTGGCTGAAACTGGATGTATAAAACTTCTAAGAAAGGGAGAACGGAGTTTTAAAATGGTTAAAAACAGATTACCTCAGTGTTAGGAATTTTGTTTAAAAATTCCAGACGGGGAATGTTTGGTTAAAAATCTGAAGGATTTATACAAAACTGAAAATATCTAAGCTCAATTATGTGATGAATCCAGCAAGAGGCTATGGGATTCTTATGACAGGGAATTGAAGCCACAACTCAGCTAAACACTGTAAGGGATAGAGAAGGGCTTTCTCCAGTGTTTGAGTATTCCAATGGGATGCTTTTTTTTTTTGGAGTAATGGGATGTTTTTATTGTGTGTTTTGAAATCTTTTACAAATGTGTTATAGGTGAATAGTTTGGCTCATTGTATTTTATCATTTCTATTGTGTAATTAACTTTTATATTATTGTTTAAACCAAATGTGCAGTATTGGGTCCTTGCATTTCAGTGAGAGACCACCAAAATAAAATATGGTCTATCAAGCCAGATTTTAGCCTGGGATCTGACATATCCAGTAATAACTGCAATGGAGATCATTAAATAGTTCAAAATAATGCCAACAGCGCAGGTCCAGTTCTGGGTTTGATAGGTATAAGACTTGTCGTCTTGCCGCATTTTGAAGGCAATGGCAAACACCACCAACAAAACTATTGTACGAAGTGTTTGGCTCTGGACAGGTTTACGCTGAGCAGTATATTGTACACTGATCAAGATGATGAAGCCATAAAGACTTAAATGGAAGAACAGCTCAAGTTACCAAACGCAATAGTCCTACTTAGGTCTCCCTCAGTCATAGAATCCCCACAGTGCGGAAAGAGGCCATTTGGCCTATTGAGTCTCCAAAGAGCATCCAACCCAGATCCCCACTCAACCTCCATAACCCTACATTTACTGTGGCTAATCCACCTAGCCTGCATAATCTGCACATTTTTGGATGGTGGGGGGAAAGTGGAGCACCCAGATGAAACCCACGCAGACACGGGAAAAAACGTGCAGACTCCATCTTACTGAACTCTGTTCTCCTGCATCATGACACACAGGGACATCTGCAGAACATCTAAATTGCTAATAACGCACACTCTGGTTAAATGGGACACCGTAGATGTACTACGCTTAAATTTTGACGAAGCATTTGGTAAGGTGCCGCATCAAAGTTATTGCATAAAATGAAAGCTCTGGGATACAGCGTCACAGTTCAGATAGAAGATTGTCCAGCAGTAAACGGAGTATGTGTAAATGGGTCTTTGTCAGATTGGCAGGATATGATGGGTGGAGTCATGCAGGGGTCTCTCAACTTGTACAATTTACATTAATGATTTAGATGAGAGAAGCAAAGACATGGTAGTTAAGGTTTGAGATGACATGAAGATAGATAGGCTAATATGTTGTGAAGAAGACATAAGGAAACGCAACTAAAATAAAACAAGGAACTGCAGATGCCAGAGATTTGAAACAAACAAAAACAAAATTGTTGGAGAAACTTAGCAGGTCTGGCAACATCTGTGGAGAGATAATGTTAACTCCATTTTCTCTCCACAGATGCTGCCAGACCTGCTTGCATTTTGCCAATGATTTCTGTTTTAGTTTAACGAAGTCGCAGTTGGATGTAAATGAGCACTTGGGCAAAAATCAGGCAAATAGATTGTAAAACGGGAAATGTAAAATTGTTCATATTGGCAGGAAGAATGAAAAGCAGAGTATTACTTACGTGGAGAACAACTGCAGAATTCTGGGATGCCGAGCGATTTAGATGATCTAATGCATGAATTATAAA